TTCAACCTTAATTCCTAATTGACATGTTAACTTTGTTTGGTGCAACCACACACAAGATAATAAATAGATAGATAATGCTTCAATCCGATCAATTGCATTCAGACACTCAGTTATACAACCAAAGAAATTATATGTTCATTTTGTAAGTAAAATTAATTTGTACGTCAAAAGCTCGAGTGAAAATTCATTATAATATATCATCCGAACAACCGAAGAAAGAAAAGTTAGAATACATTTTTCTATCTCGAAACGATGTTTAAATTAAGCCCTTGTTTGAGGCCCCTTTAGGGCAAAATAAGTTTTGGAATATTTATTTTTTGGAGAATGGTTAAAAAATAAGAAAAACTTTTGGATTTACGTGTAGAATTATTTTACTTGATAACTTGTAATTAAAAATGAGTTTTGAAAAAAATGGAGTCCAAACAGGTGCTAAATATCTAAAATGGCTCGAAAAAATAAATTATTTATTTTATTTTCTTCAACACAAATTATTATTAGTGTGTATACAATATAATTACAAACCAATAACTTGTATGGCCGACTATCATCTGGCATAGAAAAATCACGGGAAGTTGATATTTATCTTTTCTGCTTCCCAACTGTGGGATTGTTAGACTCAATAATTAAAAAGTAGAATACAATGTTGTCAACTCCCCCATGAGATTTCCGTAAATTCTTTTTTTTTACACGAAATGATTCGAGCATATTCAATTCTAACCGTCACCACCAATTTATGAAAGATGTACGTGTGAAATTGCACTCACTTCACACCTTTAACGAGAAAATGAATCGGATTTGCAAGTGAAATGATGTGTTATGTTAACATATAGAGGAAGTGCTTTCGTAACGACGCAAACATGGATTTCATAAAGCAAAGAGGAGGCAAGCAGATTTATAGACAGAAAAAAAAAATACACAATTGTGCAGTTGAAACCTCATTAATTCAATGAAAATAATGGCCTTTGATACTCCCATTTTTCATCTAAATTTTTTTTTCTTTCTACACGATCAATGGAACCTAACTTCATGTGATCACATTAAGTTCATTGTCGGTTTGATCACCACAAAATCACTTGCCTGAATTATTATATATAACAAACTTTTCTTCCACTAAAACACTCACCAAACAAGCTTCTGTATTCTGGGGCTTGCCCTTCATTATCGGGCTATTTCTCTTCTCCCTCTCTCTACTGTCTTCGGGGATCGACCTTGAAAGAAGGTCCCAATGCGGGTTCATTCGCTTTGTCGAGGGGCCCTTCTGGGCTTCTTTGTGTACTTGTTATTCGTAGCGAACTTCTGCCATGGAGATGAAAAGACCATAGAAGTTGTGGGGGTGGGAGAATGTGCTGACTGCAAGGAGAATAACATTAAAACGAGTCAGGCTGTTTCAGGTACTATACAATCTTTTTATGTACTATGAATGCTATTACAAGATAACACAATCGATGGTATAATACGATATTATCCAGTATCGTAAAATCCATCTTACCTACAAGTCACATTGTGTTGAAGAACCAGTGTTTATATATAGAACCACCGTATATGAATGCTATTCCTTTTTGGACTCCTGTGAAAAATGACCACGTAGCTTTGCATCTTTACACTTCACCAAAGCATTCATTTTTTGCAGGGCTTAGGGTAACCATTGATTGCAAGCTTCAAAATGGAGAAATAAAAAGAGTGGGAGTTGGAGAGCTTGATAAAGAAGGAAAATTCAAGGTTTCACTTCCTGAGGAGATTGTTGGAGATGGAAAACTCAAAGAGGAATGCTATGCACAGCTTCATAGCGCATCGGCAGCACCATGTCCAGCTCACAATGGCCTTGAGGACTCTAAGGTTGTCCTAAAGTCAATAACCAATGGAAAACACACATTCAGCCCTAACGGAAATCTCAAATTCTCCACTGCATTGTGCACTTCTGCATTCTTGTGGCCATCACCTTTGCCCAAAATTCATCCATGGAAGAAACACTTCCCTAAGGTTTACCATCCACCATTGAAAAACTTCGGACACCCGTGGCCTCTTCCTCCACTTCCACCAGTTTACACAAAACCACTTCCTCCCCCAATTCCCATTTACAAAAAGCCACTTCCTCCCCCAATTCCCATTTACAAAAAGCCACTTCCTCCACCCGTCCCCATTTACAAGCCGAAGCCCCTTCCTCCAATAAAGCCACTTCCACCACCAGTTCCAATCTACA